CCTTTATAGAACCCCAAACCTTTTACTGAGTTCCAAACTTTTTACAGACCCCCAAACCTTTTACAGACCCCCAAACCCTTTCCCGAGCCCCCCACCCCACAGCACGGGGAGAACCAGCCGCCGCCTCGAGGAAAAACATCCGTCTGCCGGCAATAAAATACCCAAGCGGGAGCGTTTGAGCTCTGCCCGGCTGCCGGTGACTAATGAGGCCTCTCATGCTGCCCAGCAGCCATGAGGCTGTGCCCCCAGCTCCATCTGACACCCCCGGGGGCTGCCTGCCCCCGGTTACGTCCCCGTGGTTACTGGAGGTTGGTGGAACCCGAGGTTGCTGCGTAATCAAAGGGTAAATACAGGTCCCTGCCTGCCAGGCGCTTCCCTCGAGTGGGTCCTGAGGTTCTCCCTGGTAGCCAGGCCAAGGAGCATTTCCTGATAAGACATTTATATCCCACCTGTGTGGTCCTACCTGCCTGTGACCCCCCCTTCCCACCACCAACACCACCACCACCACCACCACGTTCACACCTGGTTTGATGGGTGGAAAATGGTACCCGTGGTTCTCAGTGGGATGCTCCTGGATTAAGGACATCAGCATCTTCATCACAGATATGGAGGGGACCCATGTCATCGATTGAAGTCACTGAGCTTCTAAATGGCATCACTGGAAGTTCTACTTGTTGGGATTGACCCCAGGATTTGGTAGGATGGGATGTCCCAGGTCACTGGAGCAGCACCAGCTTCAAAGCGACCGACTGTGCTCATGGGAAAGGAACCAGGTGAAGGTGACAGCACGGAGATGCCTGTCCCAACCGTGGACACCTCACAGGAAGCACCAGGAGAGGATTTGGGGCCAGCAACCAGCCCTGTGGATCCACCAACATGTCCATTAGGTTGGAGGCAGGATAGTGGAGAGATGGGATAAGATGTTCCCAGGTGTCTGATGGGGAAAATGTGAACCAGGGAAGGAAAATTTGGATTATTCATTATGGTTGAATGGCCATGCACAGCCAGGAGGGTGAGGGACATCCCCTGGTGATAGCTCCACCTCCTCTCCTCCAGCTCTTTGACTACATCTCCGAGTAGGGTCCCATATCCCCCATCTCCAGCTGATGCCATCCATCCCATCCCATCCCATCCCATCCCATCCCATCCCATCCCATCCCATCCCATCCCATGGCAGGTGGAGCAGATCCTGTCGGAGTTTCGGCTGAAGGAGGAGGATCTGAAGAAGGTGATGTACAGGATGCAAAAAGAAATGGACCGAGGGTTGAAGCTGGAGACACACGAAGAAGCCTCTGTGAAAATGCTGCCCACCTATGTCCGCTCCACACCTGAGGGCTCAGGTACGGCGCTGCCAGGCTGGATGGGGACCACTCCTGGTCCTTTGCTGTGTCACCTGGACCTTGCTGAGCTCAGGGTGGGTGGCTGAGACCTCCCCCCCACCTCCTTGAGTTGGTCACCTTGTGTCCCACCCTGGCTTTGCAGAGGTTGGAGATTTCCTGTCGCTCGACCTCGGCGGCACCAATTTCCGTGTGATGCTGGTGAAAGTGGGCGAGGGGGAGGAAGGGCAGTGGAAGGTGAAGACGAAGCACCAGATGTACTCCATCCCAGAAGATGCCATGACAGGGACAGCTGAGATGGTGAGCTGGGCACATGGGGCATCCTGTCACCTCACACATGGTCCCTGTCACTGTGCAGGGACACACCATGTCACGTGTCGGTGGGGACACCAGTGGGTACATCCCTCCAGCTGGTAGGGGACACGGGGTGGTGGGTGACCCATGGTGGGGACACCAGTGGGCACATCCCTCATCCCTCCAGCTGGCAGAGGACACAGGGTGGTGGGTGACCCATGGTGGGGACACCAGTGGGCACATCCCTCATCCCTCCAGCTGTCAGAGGATGTGGGGTGGTGGGTGACCCAGGTGGGGACACCAGTGGGTACATCCCTCATCCCTCCAGCTGGTAGGAGCCATGGGATGGTGGGTGACCCATGGTGGGGACACCAGTGGGCACATCCCTCATCCCTCCAGCTGGCAGAGGACACAGGGTGGCGGGTGACCCATGGTGGGGACAGTGGCCATGCACAGCCAGGAGGGTGAGGGACAGCCCCTGGTGATGGCTCCATCTCCTCTCCTCCAGCTCTTTGACTACATCTCCGAGTGCATCTCTGATTTCCTGGACAAGCACCAGATGAAACACAAAAAGCTGCCCCTGGGCTTCACCTTCTCCTTCCCTGTGCGACACGAGGACATCGACAAGGTGAGGGGGTAACTTGGGTGGCATGAAGACTTGGGAAGGGGGGTGTCCCCAAACTCAACTACACCAACAGCCCCATTTCAATCTTCTCCTTGCTCCAGGGCATCCTCCTGAATTGGACCAAGGGCTTCAAAGCTTCAGGTGCAGAAGGGAACAACGTGGTGGGGCTCCTGAGAGATGCCATCAAACGGCGAGGGGTGAGATGACCCTACACTCAGTGCTGTGCTGGGAACACCCTGTGACACCCTCAGCTGTCCCCAAAATGGGACCATTGGAGCCCACGTGTCCATGGGAGAGATCATTCCATGCGTGTGCATCCTCACCCTTGAGACCTCCCCCCGCCCCATCCCACACCCACCTGCTGAGGGACAACACAGACCCCCCCCCAGTGAGACTCTGATGGTCCCTGATGTCCCCTCCCCAGGACTTTGAGATGGACGTGGTGGCGATGGTGAACGACACGGTGGCCACGATGATCTCCTGTTACTACGAAGATCACCGGTGCGAGGTTGGGATGATTGTGGGTAAGATGGCCCTTCCCCACAGGGACACGAGGGGGGGACATTCCCACCGCCCCCCTCACGCTGCCCTGTGTCCCCTTTTGGTGGGAGTGGGGACACAATGAAGACAGGGGTGGGTGACAGCAGCACCCTACTGAGGTGTCCTTGAGGTTGAGGTGCTGGATGGCATCACCTGGCCCTGGCATGGTGGTGGGGACAACTTTGGGGTGGAAAGGGGGTGGGCACCATCATGGGTCTGGTCACTGTCATGGGTCTGGTCACTGTCATGGGTCTGGTCACCCACAGTGAGGGTCTGTCCCCAAGAGCCCATCCACCTTCCAGGCTGCTGGTGGCTCCAGCATCTCACCATAGGGGTGGGGACCCACTGAAGGTGACCAGTGCTGGCCATGCCAGGGAGCTGGGGGG